TTATTAATTTTTTTAATATTTTATGAATGTTCAGACTCTGCCTAAAGCAAATTTTAATAGTATCAGACAAGTAGTACTGACCTCTTCCTCTTTTCCCTTGGATGAAGGATTGGGACTTGCTAATAGATGTTTAAGAGACTGTTGTTTATATTTGTTCAGCTGGCATAATTTTTCAGAACTAGGTTAAAGAGCAGATTTTTGAGCGATGTCTGTGGATGGTGTAATCCCTTGGCCTACATTTAGCAGCAGCTGTTTTAGTTTATCGGACTGTGCTTCTTGGGTGGTTCCATGAGCATGAGCTCTTTCAAATGCTAGTGGTGCGGTAGTACAGCTGTCTGTCACCATTTAATCAGAATGGTCGGTGGCACCCTTGAAAAAAAAAAAGTATTTTTTAAATAAAAACAAGTGCTCACTTTTAAGCCCTAATGAAGAGCTGAAATTAATAGTGGAGTTCAGCAATTTGACATAAAGAAAACCACTTGTATCGTTGCAAGTTTTTTTTGTTTCATGAAAAAAATATCTGTCCCTTTTGGGTAGGGTGGAAAAGAATACCTGATGAGAGCTCACTTTGGACTTCCAAGTGTTGAAGCTGAAGATAAGGAAGGAAAACCTCCCATTAGTGTGAAGTTTGAGATTCCATATTTCACCACTTCAGGAATCCAGGTTAGTAGTTGAAAATGGAAATACTGGTAAGTTAACGTGCTAGGCTCTTAACACACAAGTTTTTCTCATCTTGATGATTCCTGTTCAATGTTATCCATAAAATATATCTTTGACAAAAAAACCCCAATTTTTCTTTTGTGCTAAATGCTGCTTGGCTGACACGGGAGACTTTATTTCTTAACATATCTTTCTTTCCAGGTTCGCTACTTAAAGATAATTGAGAAGAGTGGCTACCAGGCTCTCCCGTGGGTTCGTTATATTACCCAGAATGGAGGTAAATGGAAGGCCATAGACTGTAGATGTCTCCAACTTGCATATTTTCTTTCTCCAGCATAAGCTTACAAATTGCAACACACAAAACCAATTTGCTCGTATTAAACTATACAGTTTAGGTACATGTTAGATTAAGGTATGCTGCTTTTTCCAGTCACCTTTTTTGGTGTCTTAGTGAAAGACCCAATGGGATAGTTCAGTAATGCTGTTCAAGTATTTTGTAATTAAGCTGGGATTCGGTGAGATTTTTGGAGAGTAAATTTAAAAAGAAATTGCTCACACATACCATTCTGCCTGCTTTAAAATATATAAGACACTGTCTACTAAAAGATATCAGATTGTTAGCAAGTAAAAGTGGTGGGGGTTTTTTTGGTTTTTTGTTTTTTGTTGTTTTTCTAATCTAACTTTTTCTGGCATGGAAGCATGATTACCTGCAGTTACTTTAATCGCTTTAGAGCTCATTATTATGGCCATTCTAAGCAAAGATCTGGTTTTATTTTATATCACTTCATCCCAATTTGCTGATCTGCTTTACTACTTCTAGTGAGACAATTTACTAGAACTGGTTTTTTGGGTTTTTTTCCCCTTTACAGACTACCAGCTTCGAACACAGTAAACACCTCGCAAGCACCACAGACGACAAACTTCAGGCATAGAATTTGTTTGCAGAAGCTTCTGTGGTACTGAGAGCTGTGAATGTTGTTGCCAAGGGTCTTGTTTCTGCAATCTTGGATTGGCAGGAGAAAGATTGGAAAATTACTGTTTTCAATAATGTGTTTGAGCATTTGAACCATTAGTATTGATTGTGTGAATATTTATTTCATTCTTAGAATATGCTGATCTTGCTGCTAAATGCTAATTACATTAGGAGTAGCAGTTACCTTGAGGAGCCAGGAATACAGAATGAACCTTGAGAATGTCTTGTCAATGCCTTGTCCGTTACATTCGCAAAGTTTCTAGTATTTGTATTTTAGGATCTCTAAAGACATTGGCAGCATTATGCTACAAATTAGGGAGACAATGGTGCAATTAAATGACTGCTGAACACTTAGTTGTATTTAGCCCAAGGTATTTATTTTTTTCTGGGCATATGGGTGCCTTAACTCATTCAAAGCTCTGTTAACTTATAAAAATTTACGGAATACGAGTTAACTATCAGAAGTCCAAAAATACTATTTGCTCTTTTTGCATGGTTTCAAACCAATTAATCTGACACAACAACTGCAAGTGAAGGGTTTGGAAGCAAGAATATGGATTTGTTAAAGACTAGGTTAACTGAGAACAAGAGATCACAGAAGTAAATGTCTATGGGAACATCTCTGTGGAGGCATGATGATTGCTAGTTCAAGTTAGTCGAAATGCAGACTGAAGAGTTTCAACCCTGTGACACCCCTAGGGCATGGAAACCCTATGCCAATTGACTAGTATTTGCCTTTTTTAAATTTCTATTCGGAAAACAAGTTCAAAACTAATATGTAGGCATAAGACCTTAGATTAATTATTAAAAAAAAAAGACCAAAACAATTTTGGAGGTGATGAAATTTGGTAGGAAGATTGGTTTTTTTATTATTATTTTTCCAGATAATAGTAATATACTCCAACCTCTTCCTGAAAATTGATTGTTGTTTATGAAGAGGCTGATAAAAATACAGTTACCATCTTTCTTCCAGCTTGCCTGTGTGTTAATTTAGGGCAAATATTTCCCTTTTTTGCTATAGTTTGCTAGAATTGTTTAACTTTATTTGCCCTAGGGGGGATGCTTTCTTTCTTAGTCTTTTCCGTTTGTAAACAACTATTATTATAACTTCCTGGCAGAATGGATAACAGTTCAGAATGTTATACTTAAAGGTATTATTTTTTTTACATGCTGTTTCATTTTTTTCTGAGAAGCTAAGATTGGCATGGGTGTACATAGTTATTTTGATTTTTTTCAGAAAAATTTTGATGGTTATCAGTATTTTCTTTAAACAATTTTTAGACTGTTTTGGTTTGAATTTGGTACTCCTGACAGGTGCTAAACTTAAACCATCAAAATCTAAATATATGTCTGCAAATGTGATGTAGTACACTCTGCGCAAGGTTCTCCACACCACTCTGTTGACAGTCCTTGCCTCTCCCACAAGATTGAGAAGATATTTCACTCATTGTCCCCCTAAATCCTCGAAGGCTATATCTATAGATATACCTGTGTATACAGTATATACTAATTGCAAAAAATCAGCTAAATTCCCCTGAGATGCAGCTGCTGTAATGTTACAGGGAGATCTGCCTCAGAAAGGACTGACACCTGGAGGTATCTAGGCAATAACCAGACAGCCGGTTAGGCAACGATGGGTGTGGACATGTATATTCTGGAGTAAGGTTACTGTATTTGTCACCCAACAAGCTTGATGTTGAAACAAATTGAATCATCTTGTTCAAGATTTTGGTTCCACCACTCATTTTCATTTGAACAATTAAGCTTATGACTGAACTAAACATTTTTATATTAAAACTGTAACTGGTTGACAGATCACTTTCTGATGACTGTTCTTCAAAGTGTTCACTTTAATTATTTGCCTGTGAAATGTGACTCTTAATAGCTTCATTTGTTTTCATGTTGAAGGTTGTATCTTGAGGACCAGAACAGTGTTTTCTCATATTTTGTCGCAATTTGATTCTGTTTTGATGATGGGGCATCAGCCGTGTTTGTCCGGGAAGTAATAAAGGGCAAAAAGTCCTCTTTGAACCAGTTGCACTTCACTTGCTCTTTTTTCAGTTTGATCTACAGCAATTTGTAGCCTCTAATCTTAGAGCACCCGCAGTTGTTCTAATATGAGGCCTGGATAAGTGGAACTGAACTTCATAAAAGCTGAAAGTATTCATATTCCTGATTTGTTTACCAACTACTGACAAAATCTTTGCTTCTCTATTGTTCTCTGCAAAATTTGCCCTGCACCATAAAATCAGTGCTCATTAGCGTCCTCTATTTCAGAAAGCAAAAAAACCCCACCTCTTCATTCATTCATTGTCGAAATATGGGGTCCCTGGATACTTACACAGGCATAAAGGCAGAAACAGAGAGCCGTGATGTTATTCTAGCACTAGCTCTGGTTCGAGGAGTAACTTTTTTTTTTGGTAAGTTTTGTTCTTGCAGCAACTGCTAAATCTTTCTTATCTTGGTGGCTTCTGTTCTCTGCCTAATGTGGAAAAATGTAAATTTGATGGTCTGCCACTATGTTACAGGTAAGTGCCTAATATATAAAGACAATTTGCATAATTCAAATAAGCAGTATCTCTGTGTTTTCAGCTCAACGCGGCTTCATAGCTGTGTTACCTGGAATTTGGAACATTAAAAGACTAAACTACTTAGGTGGGTCTGAAAACGCATCTCTGTTCCTAATACTAAGCCAGCAATGTTTAAATGTTCTCCGCAGTCTTGTTTTTGTAATAAGCTGGGAAGCAGGCTGTTTTTTTCTCAGCAAGCTTAAGTGTGTTTCCCCGCCTCTATGCTTAGCACGGACTGCTGGCTCAGAATATTTCAACAGCGGCAAGCATTCCCCCCTCTCCCCCTCCCCAGGCATGCAAAACTGTAACGTCATCTACGCATTATTTAATTGCTAACTGATTAGATAGCTGTTCCTCAAGGTGCGTCAGCGGCACTCCCCCATTGGAGTAAATAGGTAGCTTTACTTCCTGTCGTGGTGTGTACGTGTATCTGGTATCTTGGCTTTCTTAGAATGAAAGATTGCAACAAACTACTTTGTCAGTGGTTTTTTTTTCCTCCCCCCCATGGCCAGGTTTGCCAGTAGATGGCATTCTGAGCATGCTGCATGCTTCCCATTAATTATAAGAAAGAGTCGTACACTCAAACAGTATGTACAAAATGTGTCTTTTGATTTGGAAGGTATTATTTTTAGTTCCTCTGGGTTCATTAAAAAACGCAAAAACGATAATTTTTTTTTTTTAGACTTATGCAGTATGATCTTTGGAGTTCAGTAACTTCTCAATTTAGTTTGACGGTTTTCTCGTAATGTTCTTATTTCTTTCTGTTACACTCACATGACTGATAATGGTAATACTGCGAAGCAGAGTAGAGGGCATCAGTGCAAAGGGAATGGATGAGTCTCTGCAGTGCTACAGAAGCAGCTACTCGGATTGTACGCTGGTGGTGTTGGACGTTGTTGGGTCACAAAATGAAGACTCAGCTGGTGGTCTGAAAGCTCCTGTATGATACAACATATGAGAGAGGGTATCTTTTTTTCCTTCTTTTTCCCCACTTAATTATCTCTAGAGAAAACTGGTTTTGTCTCGATAAAAGAAGCCAGAACCTACCTCCCAGTCAAATAAAACGGGTGTGTTAGAAAAGCTTCATTCCACCTCTGTCTTCCAGCTGGGGGGATTCTTTCACTGGGTTTTTTTTACGTGTTTCTATTCTTTCTTCCTTCCTTATTGCCATCCTTTTATGCCTGGATACTGTTTGTACTGCTTGTATTTGCTTCCCAACTCTAATCTGAGCTGGTTTTGTCTACAAAACATTCTTACACGTGAAGAGAGACAGTAAGACTTCATCCATAGTGGGTTTGTCTCGGGTTAAGAGATTGCACCTGTTTATTTCTGACTTTATATTCTGTGACAAGAAATGGGCTAGACCTTGGCACCTCTATCTTTATCTTGTGCCAAATGCAGTGTGTTGCAATTAGTTCAGCGCTTTTTTTTTTTTCCCCCTCTGTGGTTGACACCCACTGCTGTTTGTAATTTCAGCAGCCCTGGCACCGCGAGGGTTGATGGCCTTGCAGAAAATAGCGTGAGAGAGCAAAGTTAAGGGATGATATGAAAAATCTTAATCGCTATGGTAATTAATTATACAACAGTATCATTTATGCTACAGGAGAAGTTGTACTGAAATCATGAACAGTCGTAAACCTTTTTTTCCACTGAATTTTGTGCAATCCGGAGTGTTCTGCAAGTCATGCCCTCCCTACGCACAGATAAAACTTGTTTCTCTTGTAGTTACGGCACGTTGTCTTGACTCAGCGTTTATGAAAGCACAGTTAGTCACATCTCTCGCTGTAGTCAGATGCAGGAGGTTCCCTTTTGTAGTTACTTCACTTTGTTATTAGCGCATTAGTTAAAGACTTTGGGTCCTTCTGTATTTTCTCCCTTCCCGGGCTGGTGAACTGGGCTGTGTCTTTGATCTCTGGCTTTGGCAGCGCAGGGTCCGTGTGCGGATCGTGGCCAGCTCTGGCTGTGGGCTCTTTATGACATGACCATTGCTCTGGGCAGCAGCGTGTCTGTCTCTGCTCCGTGCGCACCAGTTCTAAACAGAAAAATGTAGTGTGTTTTTAAAGATAGGAGTTGTAGCTAAACTCGTTTCTGCATTTGTTCTCCTGAAAATGAAGGATTCTTTTTTTATTAGGATGCGTTCTGGGCTAAGTTCCCAGGAACTTGGTGCAAACAGCCATCTGAAATTGAGATCGTCAATAGCCCTGCAAAATCAATGGCATTGCATGGGAAGATTAAACCCACTTTTCCCACTTCAGCTGTTCTGCTGCTCTGTGGTTGTTGGCAGTCTGGTTGAAGCAGAGAATTTGGATAATTTTGAGTTTAATATCAGAAATTATGCCCAGCTTAACCTTATGACATCTCTCTCCTTCCTCTTCTCCTTCCCCCCTTCAAGCTGCCAGCATGTCTTCGTGCTCATTCTGGTCTTGTTGACTGCCCTGGCAGTTGCAGCATTGCACTGATGCAACATCGTTGTGCTGTAAGTGGAATTACTCTGGGTTATTCTCAAAAAATTATGGGCTAGAACCTGGAGCCTCCAAGTTCATTTGCAGGCTGATGGTCAAATAAATAAGTAGAAACAGGCCTGAATCAAATGATCAGCAACGTGAAGAACAAGACACTCCCAAAGTCAGTGTGCTGGGCTACGGCCTGTTCTGAAGAAAGTTTTGTAGGCTTAGTTCAAATCTTGGCTGTGGATTTGTACCTTGGATCAAAGTTTTGTTGCAGGCCCTTCTCCAATATAAAGCAAAGAAACGTAAAACAACAAATATCTAGTGAAATCCAAACACAATCTGCT